TTGTACCTTGTGACACCCTGAAAAGCAAACCAAACCAAAGAAACACACCCACCCCAAGTCCCTTGTGGGGGATAAAAAAAGAAACAGAAAAACGACGGTTTCCTTATTGTGGCTTATTCCTCGTCAACACGGCGAGGCTTGCAAGGAAAAGGTCTTCGGCTCCCAGGAAAAGATCTTGGCACAGCTGGAGGGACTGCTCAAGAATTCCCAGCAAGAGGTTCCTGAAGCCCACAAATGTCAAGGGGCTGTTGTTGTTGTGTAAGAGCACTGAATGCTGTGCCGGAGAAGCACACGTGTCATATCCACACAAAAACATATGGAAGAAAACAGGCAAAGCCCAGGGAGGACAGAGGACACCTTGTGTCCACAAGAGCCTGAAGACCTGCTTTGCTGGTGACCTGGTGACCAAATTGGGGGGGGGGGGGTGTTACCTGCTGTAGGTGGATGATGGACTGATGGCAGACTCCACTCTCGCCCTCCCTTGCACTCCACTCTCCACCCTTCCATCTTTTGTTCTCATATGTTAACAGACGCATTCTCGTTGCCATTCTCTTTGCTATTGTTTATTTTATTGCTCTGTTATTTTACTTTGGCTCTATTTACGCTCCTTTCATTCTATTCCTTTTCATTATTGAAAGCTGCCTCCACGGCAGCAAATAAATTCAACAGACAAATAATCTTCTCCAGCCCAAAGGATGCAACCAGACCAAGAAAGCAGAGCAGCTGGGAGCCTCTCCAGAGCCAACCTCACTAAAAACAAGCTGAAATCACACCTGTCTCAACTTCCGCCTTAGTAATAACTCCAAACCTTTGGGAGACACTTTGGGCAGGCTTATAAATAACAACCTGCCAGAGTTCAAGTGAGTAAGAGATTTCTGTGGAAGCTTAGCAGAATTTGGGGTTTCTTTCCCTCTGGCCCCGAAGGGCTAAGATTACGTATGCGTAGGCTGCTAGATATGAATTTGCAGGCTACTTTTACTGGCAGGAGGGAGGCCGTTCTTGAGGGGGTCGCCATACCACCAAGTCTGTAGTTCCTTAAGCAGCCAAAAAGAAGGAAAACAAATATCTGAGCAGGTAAATATGCGAAGCCCTTTTGGTCCAAGCCTGGGCTTTAAAAGTGCTCAAGCCCAGCCCAGCCCAGCCCAGCCCAGGAGGCAACCAGAGGGGCTGGGATCTTGACTTTCTGACTATATCTTAGTCTGGAGCAGGGGTGTCAAACTTGAAGCCCACAGGCCGGATCTGGCATGGGGTGTTTAGATCTGGCCCAGGGGGCTGCCCTGGAAACAGCGAAGGACCGGCCCACGGTGCCTCTGCCAGTGAAAATGGAGCTTGTGAGGGTCGCCTGTGGCCCCTCCCAGGCTCCGTTTTTGCTGGCGGAGGGCTGCAGGAGGCCGTCGCAGCTGAAAATGGAGCCCAGGAGGGCCGTGCAAGGCCCTCACGAGCTCCATTTTCGCTGGCAGAGTGCTAGCAAAACAAACTACTAGCAAAGGGGGGCTTTGATCACACGAGTGACGCCGAGCTGGTCATGCCCACTCTGGCCACGCCCCCCCCAGCCCCCTGAGGTCAAACACAACCCTGATGCGGCCCGCAATGAAATCGAGTTTCACACCCCTGCTCTGGAGGGTCTCATCTAAGTTTCCAGAGAAGGAAGGAATTAAACCAACATTAGGGGAGCTCATAACCAGATTCATGGAGGCTAACCTGGCCAAAGGCCACATACAATTTTGCTTGCTGTTTAATTGCAAAATGAAGCCTTTTTCCCCCACTGCCTTATTCTTTAAGAACCTACAGACAAGCGCCTGTGCAAGATAAGCATTATTATCAAGGAGTTCTGATCACTTGTGCTGTGACCTTCACAGGCCTTTTTCACTTCCCCTTGGAGAAAAATAAGCCGGCTCCCGAAGAAGACATCTAGAGGGTTGCCACGCAGGGAGTGTGTGCCAAGCAGGCAAACCTCCAGCTGTTCAGAGAAATGGAGGCTGATGGAATGTATTAATTGCATGATTAACCTAATTATCTGGACACTGAAGACATGGATTTTTAATTAGTACTACCAGAGTCACCATCCCAGTGTCAAGGGACGAAGGCACCACATCAGTAACCAATAATTTTGCAAACCAAACAGGATTTACCGTTGGAGGTTAGCTTGAAGAACATTAGCCTCAAAATGCATCAATCAATATTGAAGCGGTGCATCATTCTGAGTCAAAGTTATGGTAGCAATGCTGCGCCTATGTAGGTGGGAGTAAGTGAAACACAAAGTAGACAGGAGAAGCAGCTGGAACAAAACTCAAAATTCCAGAAGACAAACCAGCTCTTCAGCATGGTAGGTAAAACTGAAGTCAAGGAGGCTTGAAGAATGGCTAACTGGGTTTATTTGTACAAATCCATCCAAAACGTTTTATAAAATTGATCTGAAAATGCAATCAACTGAATTAGAAGTGTTAGAAATGTAAACATCCAAATTGGTCTGTCGGTGTAGACTTATGACTTGGGTTAAGATGGAAATCCTAGTGAATTGGACAAAAATGGTTTTGCATCTGTGCAGAAGATTTTTATATCAACTGGTTCGCATTAGTATGATGTGAAAGCTCACTACAATGCACTGTATCTTCAAAGCTAAATTGAATATAATTGGCATGAAATACCCTATCACATTACACAATACACTCATACACATGAACACCGTGCACACACAAATATGCACACAAGATGACTACTCCATCTAAGTAAAAAGGAAAGCTGAGCAAAATCAAAATAAAGAAATCCCTACAAGGAATACAAACAATTCAACAGCAGAGCAATTTTACATCGCTAACTTGGGGCAGCCAATGCAATTATTGTAAGATACAGAACTGAAAGTAAAACACAACCTTCGTACTTGAACTGAACAGAGCAGGAAATAAGTTTGAAGGAAAATAAGATGCAGTATCTCACATTTGCTGATATAATCCAGTGTAACTGAAAAGTTAAATCAATTAAGCAACTATCGAACAGATAAAGGAAGCACAATTGGCTGGCAAAAAGAGCATTATTTCTTTTAACTAAGTTATAAATTGCTTTGCTTGGAGATACTGTTTAATTTGAGTATATTTCCCCCCTGCAACCCAACCAATGGAGATTCTTGGCAGCATTTCCAGGCATGTTCTTGGGGGCATCCCCAGTCAATTGCAGAAACTGACTGCCAGAGGCATAAGCTAAAAATCTTACCCCGTTCTCTGCCTGAAATATTTTTTCTGTTCACTTCCTCCTAATGAGTTTGCTGGGGAAATCCCCTTCATTTTTCTTCTCAGAAACGAGTGCACTACTTCCCGTAAGCCAATGTGATGTTCCAGTCTTAACTTTTTTCATTCTCTCACCAGAAAAAAAACACCATACTCCCTAAAACTCATAATGTTTTCCATAGGATCTAGGAGAACCAATCTTACCTAATTCTACATTCTTAAACCAGCTCAATCCCGTCTTTCTCAATCGTGTGGCAATTGTAAGATATCTGGACTTCAACTCCCAGAATTCCATTGTAGGACCACAAATGAGAATTCTGAGAGTAGAAATCCACCTGTCCAGAAGGAGACCAAATCAGAGAGAATGACAATGTTTTTATTCAACCCCAACTTAGAAAGTAATGGGAAAAATACTTTTGTGTAATCTTTCTGGTTTTAATAAAAGGAAAAGTGAGGATGTGGTGCCTTCGAAAGCTATTCTATTGTGGTTTTGGCTAATGGTAAGAATACAGGGAACTACAATGCAGAAATCTTGAGAATGGACCTGGTTTCTCAGCCTAATGGGAAAAAAAAAAGAACCAGGGTGGTAGGAGAGCCATATAGTGATGCTTTTAGATGCATCTAAGCCAGACCTCGGCATTTTATGGCCTCTGACCACATCCAGACATTTGGCTGTCCGGCTCACATGGATTGATGTTATTTTGAAGGTAATTTTTTTTTTCAATTTACCTATGTGTGTGCATGCCTACCTACCTTCACAGCCTTATCGGTTTGGCATTCTACAACAGTCCCAGTTTCTGATGTGGCCATCAGAATTAATTGCCTGCCCTTGATCTAAAATCAACAACTAAAGCAAAATTAAGCAAAGAAAGTACGTCCTGGGAGGCTTCAGGCCATGAACTAAGTAATCAAACTATTCCAGGTATTTACAAGCAGTTGGCAAGGTTTTTGCACACCTTCTATTTCTACTCCCTGGTTACTCTTTCCCCAGCTGTGAACAGTAGGGAGCTATTTGGCTAATATTTTAGATGAAGTTTACTCCAATTGCCTACATTCACATATCATACATATCCAGATAGACACAACATATCAAGCCACTGCCACATTTTAGCCTAGCCTCTGGTTCAAACCTGGCCAGGATGTCGCTTCAAGAGCACAATATTTTCTGAAGAGTTGCACAAGACCCCTGGTTTCATGCACCAGGGAAATAAACAAGGCAAAAACGCTACCCAGCCATTTATGAAGAACAAAGTTGTGTCAGGCTTAGCCCAAATCCAGAGCTCAGGATGCTTTCTTCCTCACTTGCTAAGTAGGAAAGAGAAGACCAATGAAGAAACTGGTTCCCAGAATGAGAAGACAACGAAGAAACTGGTTCCTAGCCCATGGTTTTTGTCTCTGAATACCAGAAGGACCTTTTACAACACACAATTGTTGGCTTCATAAACTGTAATTGGTTACTGTATTTGCCCATTTTCTGGACATGCACAATGTCCTGAAGACTGAAAAAGGTTGGGTTCACCCAACTTTCTTCATCGTGCGCACGTAAAAGCCTGACCCAGATGAATAGGGACGAAGTTGGCACTTGTGAAGGAAGCTACTGGGGCCTTTTAACCCCGACACTACATACCTTGACCAGCAATTTTACCTGGCCTCCTGCGAGGTCAAAGGCTGTTTCTTCCCCACCCGCCTGGCCTTTGGCTGCTGACCTGAACCCAGAACCCTGGCTGGACTTTTAGGCTCCCCAGAGCGCCCCCCAAGTCCCGGCCATTCACTCACCGCTGTGTGAACTGAACCACCGGGGTCCGAGGTGCAGAGGTAGTGCATCGGCCAGCGAGGCCCTGGAGCCCAGGTACAGCATCCCGTCTCTGTGGTGACCACCTCCCGTCTCCTGGTAACCGTTGCCATGGCCGTAAGGGGTGGAGTCCGCGCCTGGACCCCGCTCCGAGTCGCCCGAAGCCGCCGCCGCCGCCGCCGCCGTTGCCGTCGAAGCGGCGGTGGTGGCACTGCTGGCCGCCGAGGCCGCCGCCGCCGCCGCGTACAGGCCGAAAGGGACGCTGCCAGCGCCGGCCGGCTCCACGCCGCCCATCCCCACGCCCACGCCGGCCACGGAGCTGACGGAGCGGCTGCGCAGCCCCATCGCCGAGCTCCCGCCGCCGCCGCCGCCGCTTCCCCCGTTGCCGCCCCCGCCGCGGTAATGCCCGAAGTGCGGGGCTCCCCCGGGCGGCGGCGGCGGCGGCGCCCCCACCGCACTGTCGTCGCTGGCCACGCCGGCCAAGGGGCCTCCGCCTCCGCCGCCTCCTCCGCGCGAGCGCCCCGCGGCCGTGGCGCCCGCCGTGCTCTGCTTGCCGCCCATGCCAGCCCGCGAGGAAGCGAGGGCGCCGGGGCCACTAGGCGCTCAGGCCACCTCCGGCGGCGCCGGGCATCGTGCGGCGGCCAGCAACGGCAGCGGCCCCGCTCCCCTTCGTCTCCTCCGCCTCTCCGAGCAGCAGCCGCAGCCGCCGCCGCCGCCGCCGCGCCCCAACGGGCGGCCCGCCGCGCCTCCCGGGCTCATCCACGGCGGGGGGCAGCCGGGGGTCCCGCCCTACGGAAGGAGGAGGAGGAGGAGGAAGAGCGCGGCTCCCCGGGCGACGCTCCGCATGCGAGCGCAGGGCAGGAGGCGGCGGGGGAGGCGGCGGCCTCCGGGCCAAGCCGAGCGGCCGCGGGGAGGAGGAGGAGGAGGCTCGGCCGTCGGTCGGGGGGCCGCCTGGCAGGCTCGGCGGCTGGTGCTGCTGGCGCGTCGTCGTCGTCCCCAGCCGGGCTTCCCGAGGGCGCCCGGAGCCCAGACAATAGAGCCGCGCACAGCGCCTGCGCCGCGGCTTCCCCGTCTCCTCCTCTCCGCCCCCCCCCCCTCCGCCCGCCTTCGCTGCCGCCTCGGGATGGAGCGAGGCTGAGCGGGAGGGAGGGAGGAGGGAGGCCGCGCCTGTGTCCCCCGCCCGGGCCGGCAGCCAGGCTACTGTGCCCGCGGAGCGCGCTGGCCAGTCCGCCCCGGCCGCTGCCGAGCTTGCCCAGCCGTGGAACCCCGAGGCGGCGTTGGGCCTTTAACCGACGGTCTCCGGCGTTGTCCGTTAACGCGGCAGCCTGAAGGTTCTGCAGCCTTAGGGCCCCTCTCGGGCCCCGACTTAGAGCTTGCCCGAGGGCTGGTGGAAGCCCGGTTGGCCTGGTCACTGCAGGGATGGCACATCCTGGCTTGTGTGGTGGAAACTAGGGTCTGTTTGGGGCTGGAGTGGGGGGGGGGGGGGAGGAGGCCCCCATGGCTTGGGGGGGGTTATGGGTTAGCAGGTTGTGCCCGCCTATATGGCCGCAACTTGCTACAGTTCATTCAGGGACCGTTCAAAGTTACCAGGGCACTAAAAAAGGGATTTTATTATGACTGTTTTTCACACTGAACGACCGTTGCAGCATCCCCAGGGTGGCATGATGCTTGGCAATGGACTCATACTTACGACGGTTGCAGTGTCTGGAGACCACGTGATCCCTTTTGGCGACCTTCGGACAAGCAAAGTCAACGGGGAAGCCAGATTCACTCAACAGCTGGGTTACTAATTTAACAATTGCCGTGATTCACTTAACAACTGTGGCAGGGAAGGTTGTAAAATGGGGCAAAATTTGCTGAAATGTTTCACTTGGCGACAACAATTTGGGGCTCAATTGTGGTTGTAAGTCGAGGACTACATACAGCATCCATTACAGGATGCATCAGATAATAAAGCCTTAATAGAACATGGTGAAAGTTAGTTTTGGACCAAAGATGTATTGAATAACCTTGAAAACAGTTACGGTTACATTTTTGCCTTTAGCACATTTATGTTCTGCTGCGAAGAACAATATTTCTTCATCTCACTCTTGATTTTATCTTTGCAACAACCTCAGGAGATAAATTTTTGGAGAGGACAAACCATAATTACAAGTGTCACCCACAGTCGGGTTTTCTGCTTCGTAGTTTGTATGATTTATCAATTCCATCAGGATAGCTTACAAACCATAGTGTAAAACTTAGTATGACTTGCCATTTGTAGTTTAATTAAACCATGGTCAGCACATATTTTGATGTGGCACAAAATATAAACCGCCTCTTGTTTCATTTTTTATTATCAGTTAAAATCTCATCTTAAAAATTTTGCTGTCTCCTGATGCATGAATCTTATTGTGATTACAGATTGAGTACATACGTTTCCAGAGACAACTGTCAAGGACCCATGGGGGTGGGGGAATGAGAGACAGGCTAAAGAAGCCGATATAATCTATTGGTGCACAAGATTTACTGGCAGGCAAAAACAGAACAAGAGCCTGCAAAAGACTTCTCTGGAGGTCTTTAAAGAAGAGGCTGTACAGCTACTTGCCTGAAATGGTACAGGGTCCCCTGCTTTAGCAGGGGGTTGGACTAGAACAGGAGTCTCCAACCCTTTTAAGCCTGGTGGACTTCAACTCCCAGAATTCCCCAGCCAGCTTTGCTTCTGGGAGTTGAAGTCCGCCAGGCTTAAAGTTGCCAAGGTTAGAGACCCCTGGACTAGAACAGTGGTCGCCAACCAATGGGCCAGGGATCACTGGTAGTCCGCGAGAAAATGTTGGTGATCCGCAGAGAAATGGTACCCCCAAAGCAATTAATCCAGGCTACGCGGAAACACAAGGCTGTGCCGCCCACATGGACCACGGGAACCCAAGGCTTGCATTGCTTGCATTGCAAACAACACGAGGTAGTGAGGGGAGGGGAAATGGTGGAGAGGGGAACTTGCCCCACTCGCCCAACATGCCCCGCCTGGCCACCAGGCTGCTTCTTTCCGCTTCTTCTACTTTTGGCTGCACACAAAGAAAGCAGTCTTTCTTTCTCTCCCCCAAACTCCGCCAGAAATGAGTATTCGGGACCCTGCAAGGCATCCTGTCCCAAGAGGCTGTGCCATTCTGGCGGAGTTTGGGGGAGAGAAAGAAAAACTTCTGCTGCTTCTGCTGTTTTCCTTGCATGAAGCCAAAAGTATCTTTCTCTCTCTCTTTCTCTCTCTCTCTCCCCGAGAATGGAGCTAGAGACGGTATCCTGCGATCCCAAATAAAGAATGATCGATCGGTAGGAAAACGGGGTGGGGAATTTTCCTGCAGACTTTTGGGGGGATTTTCCCAGGGTCTCTGGTCCGCGGGATTTAAAATTATGAGTTTGGTGGTCCCTGAGGTCCAAAAGTTTGGCGACCCCTGGATTAGCAGACCTCCAAGGTCCCTTCCAGCTCCATTCCAAAACTGAGCTATGTTGCTTGTTGATGAATAACACCTAAAGGGATCTCTTCCCTTGCCCAAGAGTGTTTGAAGTGGAAACATTTGTGCATAATGAATCCTGGCTTGAATCCAGGTACTTTGCATTCTGTTTGGTGTTCTGAATCTTCTGGACAGGTAGCCATCATTCCCTACTTTTGAAAAAAAGTTCAAAGCCTTTATTGTCATTGTACATCATGTATACAACAAAACTGATTTAGCCTCTACCAGTGCAGTCCATACAAGAATATAAGACGACAATTCTTATTCTAGGTTCTATTTTCTAAATTTTACACCAGGCTAGTATAAGTTAATTCATTGATGTAATTCTTTTACATTCTTTAAAAAAAAATACTATCAAGATAAACCACACTTCCACATTTTGAGGGTTTGCTACCAAGTCAGATTTTGACAGTACAGTCGGGGGAGTTCTCTGGGATTGTAAAAGAAAGAGAAAAATGGACAAAAAGTAGAATACAACCAGTTTTCAACCAATTTTTTTCCAGTGGGCCGCACAGGCTTTTTCACCAATTTCAGGTAAGAGGTTCTGCTAAAATTCTGCTGAGCACTGTCAGCCAAGAAGAGAATATGCTTCTGACCATTTTATTTGTATTCTTTCAGACAATTTGAGACATAAGAGCTTTTGAAACCTGATGGTACAATCCCAGGAACTTGTTGACTTGCTGGTCAACAGACAGAAAGAGTTTTGTCCCAGCTTGTAAGAACATGGTTTTATTTAGAAGGAGGTCCAGATATATTTGTTTGGAATGAAGCGCCTGGTGACATGTCATTTACATTTTACAACACCCCTCATGTTTCGTGCCATTAACTTGTGTGATGTAATTAAAATGGTGATTGTGAAGTTTCAGCCAAAGTTATATTGTGCTCTAATCAGGAATGGAAAGATTTGTATCTCACATAGGTAAAGATTGACTAAAATCCCTATTCTAAACTTGAGTAGAGGGTTGACAGATCCCTTCCCAGCCTATTGTGTTTTTGCATGAGTAGAGATAGGCATCATCATCACTAGGAAACATATCCAGAGGAATCGTGCCAAAACACAGGAGTGGCGTGGATAAATTCCTTCCAGAGGTGGAAACAGCACAGTTGATATAGCTTAATTCAGATCCACTTCTATAAGTCAAAGGAGATCCAGGTGACTTTCTGGCTCCAATGTCTATTTTGGATTGCTTGATGGATTGATTTGGAGTCTGTTTACAGAATTGCTCCTCATCTTTTATACGGTGATTGATAAAAAGAGGAGAAAAAACAGTCTAAAATCTCTGTTACAAAATGCAAAACAGTCAAAATAACTATATTGCGACAGCCAAGACACCATAACAAACTCATAGCACACGTACACCCATACTGGGCTTAACTAACATCCTGGCTCAGTGCCTGGGAGAACATCTTGGGGTCAGGGCCCTTGGATGGAGGGGAGAGATTGTTCCATAGTTTTAGTTTACTTTATTGTCATTGCACCTTGTACAACAAAATCAAACATCATCTTCAGTGCACAACATGACCATGACCATTAAAATAAACAGAAGCACACATCCTTCACCCTTCACACATTGAACCAGAAACCCCCGACACCACACCAGCACTGCACTATACAGCAGAATTCAACAAAGTTACTGCCCTGGGATAGAAGCTGTTTTTCAGCCTATTTGTCCTTGTTTTTATTGTCCTGTACCATCTGCCAGATGGTAATAGTTCAAAAAAAGGGGTGCCCAAGATGAGATGGATCTTTGAGGGTGTCTTGAACTTTCTTAAGGCAGCGGGAGCTCTTCCAAAGAGGGGAAAGGGCAACCCATCATCCTCTAGGCAATGACATTAACCCCCTGTCTAGTCTCTATAATGTAAATATCTATTAGTAAATATACATATACTAAATAGTGATACAGATTAAGAAAACAGACACTTTGCAGTCCTCTAACCGTCACCTCCTTCAGACATTATGTTCATACACAGTTGCATAACAGGGGCAAAAATACAGTGTCTGAGCTCATAAGAATGATAAGCTTGGTTTCAATTTACAAGAGAGGGAAGTGTGCGTGTGCGTGTGCGCCTTAGCCTGTTGTGCAAATCCAATGACAAAGGTATGCAAGAAAAGAGGGGGTGGGGGCGCAAGTGGGAGGCACGCTGCCTTAAAGAAAGATCAAAACAAACCGACGT